TGCCCCACGACAAATGGTGGCCGAAACCGACAGCGGCCGTTGAGCAGGCGAACGTGCGTCTCAAACAGACAGCGCCCGCTGCGACGCCGACAGCAAATCCAGCTCAGAAGAACAAGAACTACTGTTGGGTGTTGTGCCCATTGTTTCGAGTAAGGGATCCACTACAGAATTGGTTTGCCCTCAAATGAATTCCCCCGTCGGATCTACGAGAATTATGCCGCATGTCCCGTACATCAACGACCATCCTACGTATATCGCTCGTAGATTCGATTAGACAATCAAGTGTGGGGTAACTGAAGTACGTAGTCGATCCCCAAATTATTTGAATCGTTTGCGTACCCACTTCGATCCTAGGGGAACGAACACTCACATACGTAGACATAACAACTCGGAGGCCCGCGCGGATTTCTTGGATCTGCGCTGGAACCCCCTCCCTGGCGCGGAGCGCGCCAGGGGCGGCGCTGGAGGGGCCGCCAGGGGGCTCCAGCGCCGATCCGAGAAATCCGCGCGGACCTCCGAGTATTCATGTTTATGTCACTGTTTGTTCCACTATTCGCGTACCCACTTCGACCCCCCCGAATCCAGGACCGAGGACCGAGGCAGGGATGCCAGCGCACGGGCGCGTGAGCCCAGCGCGACTCGCCGCCCCGGCAGCCCCAGGTACCCCAGGTGTCCCTTTTCCCCTGCCGCCTCGCCACTCGCTCCCCCCTCTGTACTCGTGTCCTCGTCGTCGTGGTCGTCATCCTCCGCCTCCTCCTCCTTCTCCTGCCCTCCTCCTCCTCCTCCTCCTCCTCTCCTCCTCCTCCTCCTCCTCCTCCTCCTCCTCCTCCTCCTCCTCCTCCTCCCTCCTCCCCTCCCCCTCCTCCTCCTCCTCCTCCTCCTCCTCCTCCTCCTCCTCCTCCTCCTCCTCCTCCTCCTCCTCCTCCTCCTCCTCCTCCTCCCCCAGGGTCCTGCTGCACAGCATGGAGCGGATCTGATGTTCGCCGAAGATCAAAGATCGAGTCTCGAGGGCCTTCTGGCGGGCACTCGTCGCCATGGCTGGGCTCGCCTCGAGCTTCTGGTCAGAGACCACCCAGGGCGAGCTCTGTGGAGCAGGGGGCAGCGGTATGGGGTGCAGACAATAGTTTGCTCTACCAGAGAAGAAGGAGGACAAGGGATCGCCTGCGAAGCGCTGCGAAGAGACTCCAGCGTGCGGAGGAAATCGTATACATGTCTCGATGTGTGCGTGTCATCTTTGCGCCGCAGCGGCAGTGCAATGCAATGCAATGTTTCTCTGTGTCGTTCCAATGTGAACGGATGATCCTCTAACGGAATCCAAGAGCGCTGCGGAGAGAGGAGGAGAGGTGAGAAGGAGGAGGAGGAGTAGGAGGAGGAGGACAGGAGGAGGAGGTCGCCGCCCGCCCGGGCGACTGGCCGGCGCGCGAGCACTCGGCAGCACGAGACCCCGCTCGCCTCGGAAAACATCCCGGCGGGAGGTCTTCAGAGAGGCCTTCTGCCTCCTCCCTCCTCCCTCCTCCCTCCCTCCTCCCTCCTCCTTCCTCCTCCCTCCTTCCTACCTCCTCCCTCCTCGTTCCCTCCTCCCTCCTCGCTCCCTCCGGCTTCCTCCTCCCTCCTTCCTACCTCCTCTCTCCTCCCTCCTGGCTCCCTCCTCCCTCCTCCCTCCCTCCGGTCCTCCTCCTCCTTGCTCCCGTCCCTCCTCGCTCCCTCATCCCTCCTCCCCCCCTCCTCCCTCCTTCCTTCCTCCTCCCCTCCCTCCCTCCTACCTTCTCCCTCCCTCCTCCCTCCTCCCTCCCCCCTCCCTCCTCGCTCCCTGACCTCCCTCCCTCCTCTCTCCTCCCTCCTTGCTCCCTCGTCATTCCTCCTCGCTCCTTCTTCCTCGCTCCCTCCTATTGACCTATTGACCTGCAACTGAAGGTGGGCCCCTGCACGCCAGGGCCCTTCCTGAAAGCTTCACTAGACAATCTTATTTCGTGGGAGGCCGCATCGGGTGGCAACCTGCGTTCTTAGATGAGCAAGTTGTCCCGTCGGCCATTCAATTAACCCTTTGGGTTTCAGTCCCTGCAGCAACCTACGAGACGTTTTGATCCCCGTGCTTGTCGGCTTTTCACAGGGACTGGCTAACTTTGAAACCTTCGAGGCGGCCCACCCCCCGCAGTTGGCACAAAACATCACCCCTTTGACCATGCACATACTGGGGTGGTGGGAGGGGTGGACGTCAAAAACACACTTCCTGGGCAGGCAAACTTGTGAAACCCACCCTGGAGACGGCTTGCCAGAGAAAGCAGCGCAACGCGTACATCTTACTGACTCGTCCACAGGATCCCTTACAATGCGATGCGGGCTCATTTTAGATTCTCGAAGACGACGTGTTCGTGCACTCTTGGGTAGTTTCTGCTGCTTCAGGTTCGGGCCATATTTCCAATTAAGATGTTGGACGCATGCGAGACGGGATCTGATCAGCTGCATCTCATCATCCCTGGCCTTCACCTCCCTGACCTCCTCCTCCGTAAATGCGAAAAACTCTGCCGCCCTGCGCGCAACGGCGTCGGCGGCGGCATTGGCAATGTAGAAGTCTGCCCGCACGGTGCCGTCGCTGATGTCTGTCGGCGCGGCATGGGCCTTGGTTTTCTTAAAGACGGTGTGGCTGGTCCTATCATGGAATGCCTGCCACAAGAGGGACCACACATCAGAGTTGGTTCTGTGTTTCCAGTTCTCTCCTCGCCGGACCCCTTTCATGATGTAGTCGCTATCCGTGGCGACGGCGATGGGCCCGACTAAGGGCCAAAGCATAGATAGCCGCAGCGAGCTCCCCACGATTGACTGTCTGGGCTCCAGGGGTCGGGCCATAGAGAGTCCCCTGAGCCCATTGGTTCCTGCCCATCAAGACGAGGCCCCATCCTACTCTGCGCAGGCGAGGACCGGCGGAGTGCTGTCCTCCCGGGCCGTCCGTGCCGACAAGCCGCGTCTCGGTGAAGGTGCAACGCCCCGTGTAGAGGCATCCCGTACCACATACCAGAGGGTTGACGGGTCTGGATCTGAGGAAGCCTAACGTCTGGTCCTGCTGCTGTAGTCCTCGAAACCACTTAAATGGGAAATGTGTTTCTTTCAGCCCTGGCCCTCGGGAGGAGGTGTCGGGAGTCCCGAGTCTCATCATGTTCGAATGCCATAGAAGTGAGGGTTGGGCAATTCCAATAGGCGTGAAAAGCGTCCTCAACTGGGGCTCCGCATCGCCAGCATTCGGGGGAGCCTTTCATTCCAGCTTTGAATCTCCTAGCCCCATGCCAGATGCACCCCTTGGCAACAGAATATGCAGCTGCAACTAAATGTTTGGATTTCTTCATCTATCCTCCCACATGGTGTCGAAACTGGTGGATATCAACTCCTCCTTCTCCCCCTCCGCCACAATAGAACTCGGCCGCCTATCCTCGCTCCCTCCTCCCTCCTCCTCCTCCTCCTCCTCCTCCTCCTCCTCCTCCTCCTCCTCCTCCTCCTCCTCCGCTTCGTTCCTCCTTCCTCCTCCTCCGCTTCCTTCCTCCTTCCTCCTCCTCCTCCTCCTCCTCATCATCCTCCCCCTTCTCCCAGATGTGGTATAGATGGGGGCGAGGGATCGCGCCGCATCGCCGATGCATCGCCGACACATCGCGGGTGACTCGGCGATGCATCGGGACGTCGGTGCGGGGAAGTCGGGCTCCACACCGAGCCGTATCGCCGATGCTTCGGCGATGCGGCGCGATCCTCCGACCCCATGGACGCCGACCCCATCTGGGAGGCCTAATCTGAGACCCCCTCGCGTCGTAAAGAACAGCACAGCATTAGGAGGCAACCCCTGGGCGGTCTTCGTCAGAACGATTACGGGTTATTAGGCCCAACGATTAAGGAGCCATGGAGCCGGATCAGGCCGGATTAAGCCCAAGATAAAGCCGGACTGAGCGGGATTAAGCAGGACCAGCTTGGGCCAGTCTTCGACCACGAATCTACCAGCGCCGATTCAGAATACAACCTCCCAGGCGTGGCATCCTAGACGGCGGATTGTCTTCGGCAGTCTTCGTCGGCTCCCGGAGGTTTCCCAGCCTCGGGATGCTCTCCTGCGGCTGCGCCTCGCCGCGAGCGTTCCAGGGGGGCCTGGATCTTCCCGAGCGGCCGCTGGAGACCCGAGCTATGACCACGGGGTCCCCAGGCGACCTCGCGTCGTGAACAAAAACACGGCAAGCGGTCTCGGCCGTGGGCGGCACCGCTGGGCTCTCCTGGGGCCATCTCCCAGACCCCCGACGTAATGAATGTTTCATTACGTCGACGCCAGAGTTCTCGACCCCTTCCCCAGGACCGGTTTGTCATCCTGAGTCGTTTCTTGA